GAAGAAAAGGATAAAAGAGAGGAGAAAATAGACAATAATTGATGCAAACTTTATAGACTACAGATTCAAGATACATGTTTACACAGAGGGAAGGTTTATAACACCGCTGCAAAAAAAAAGTCAAAGAAAAACAGTTTGGTTACTCTTATCAATGCTGTTGGCTAGACAGTGGGTGAGTCTAGCACAATAATGAATTCAATTCCCCCATCTCAGCAATGCATCATTTTAAAATCCTGTACTAAATACTTTCTGCTGCTATCTTTGCCCAGTATATCAAACCTACAGAAGGTAAGCTGGCCTTAGACGGATTCTTTTTTTTAATTTTTATTTTTTTAATCAAAAAAGACTGAACTGATTCCTCCAGCCATGCAGTCGAGGTGAATGGAAGACTCCACCCACTGCACAACTGAATTATGGCAGCTGGACTCATACACTGTCAGAACACACTGATCAGCGCTCCAGCTGATTGGCTACAAGTGCTGATCATGTGAAAATGTACCAACAGTCCTATTTAGGAGGAGTTGATCACTAGATAAACTCCTTTCGAATAGAAATAGTCATACATGGATCAAAATTCATCAGATTCCTCCTAAACCGGAGAAATTTCAATCCATGTATTGATTTCCAGCTTTAAGGGAGGACTTGCCTGGGATACAAGCTGCACAGACATACATCTTAAAACATATTAAAACACTACACAACTACGACAGCTAGAACCATAGACAACCCCTCATTTACCATCTATTGGTAAAAGAAACATTTGGATTTCATATGTGGCAACAGGAATTCTTTCATGAAACAGCTATCCCCATTACTGTTCATATAATTACAGCATTATGTAGTTTTTTTAGATTCCCAAAGAGCATGGAGATTATCATTAAAAATTAGCAAAAACATCACTGGAACAAAAATAAACAATTTGTAAGATTAGAGAGATATCTGATACATGGTGACCAGCATATTACAGAAAACAGAATCATCATAAGAACTATATTATCTCAACAATATACATTCAATTGGAAATGAAGAACACTAGATCTAAGATAGGGTCAATGGTGTCTTTGACTTGTGGGTTGCAATTATTATTGCCACTCCATTAGTAAAATAGTGCAAGTTTGATTCATTCAACAGTACAAGACATATATATTATTTCTTTTGTGTATGGACTCAGCAGTTTTGGTTCACATCGTGTATTTTGGTGTGATTTACTGCATACAAAAACCACAGCAGGGATGCCTGGGGACCCTAAAAAATCAGGGCCTGTATAAATGCCCATTGCGTCTTGAAGAAAATAATATATTCTTCAGATTTTTTTTAACATATAAAAAAGTCATTTTAACACATATTTTTACATATATTTGTAAATGCATTCCAATAATGTAGATTTGTATTTTTAAAGACAGACAGTATATTTGAAATGTATTTTTAAAAATATTTTGCATATATTTTGTATTAAAAATGCATTTCAACATACAGTATATATATATATATATATATAGAAATACATTGAATATGTCAAAAATTGTAGCATTTCAAATATATGTCAATTATTTGGAAAGAATATTTTAAAAATATATTTCAAATAGATTTTTCTTCCATGTGGGAAAGCCTGCTGGCAAAGGCCCGTACGGTCTCTCCTGCAGAACAGAGTAGAAATGAATAAAGGATTCTAGTAGAAATTTTCTTCTTAGTATACTTTTCTTGAATAAGACCTCTTGTGTGTTGTTCAGCTAGTAATACAGTATGTACACATGTTTCTTAGCACTAAAGCTTTACACGGCATCTGCACCAGGACTAAAAGTAATCATGATATATACAGCACAGCTGCTCATACATGTGTGCATGGCAAGCTTTGCTGAGCTTATTTGAGCTGTATCATTCATATATCATAGGCAGAAATGCTGATTCAGTAATGTTTAGGGGGAAAATGCATAAGAAGTCAATATGAAATGGCAATGATAATGAATAAATGGACCATAGATGCTCATGTGTATCTACAAATATTGTAAAAATTTCAGCAGTTGAAGAATTTCTAGTCTAAGCTTGCTCAGCGGGTCAATAAAACTATGAAGCAGAGAATGGTGGACAAAAGAAAGAGTGAATAAGTCAGTGTTTCTCAACCTTTTTTTCAGTCAAGGCACCCTCTAAAATTATGGACAGTCCCGAGCCATCCTTTAAAATTATGGACAGTCCCGAGGCACCCTTTAAAATTATAGAGAGTCTTGCGGCACCCCATTCTAAAATATGAAAAACTATTCTAATAGTTTTATATATCGCAGCAACATCCACACATGTAGGACACCCAACATTAGAGGTGATATATTCTTCCAAAGCAAACACACTTTTGCACACTGGTACTGACTAGTATTCCAGTGTTTCTCCTCTCCCTCAGTTTTTCTCCATCACTGAGCTAATGTGACCCCAGCACTGCCAGAGAGGGGCAGGGGAGGGTCAAACTAGAATGCTGTGCAGGCAGCTGACATCCTCCTTATCAACTGATGATGTCATTGGTTGTCAAGATGCTGGCGGCTAGAGGGTTGTAATGGTGCATAGTGAAAACTGATGGCTTTGTGTAACTAAAAGGCAGGTTTGTTCCCCCCGATGGCTTGTATACAAGTGTTTATGCAATTTTTGGACATTTTGCTAAGGCACCCCTGAAGAATCCTCAAGGCACCCCAGGGTTCCTGGGCACCCTGGTTGAGAAGGGCTGGAATAAGTAACACAATTCCTACCTATCTTATTGGCCTGAAAAAAAAACTAATATTTATTGGACTACCCAAAATTTGATGAAGTAATATGAGTATCCACAAGGATTGTAGTGACATATTAAAAATGGATGGCATCCAGTATTTTTTTCAAGAATGTATCTAGTTCTCTGTACTTCATCAGCTTCCACAGCCTTTCCTGTACCTATAATAACTTGCTTTGAAGTCTGTGCATCTGCATGGCAACGTTTTACTGACTGGTAAATGCCATAAATTCCAGCAGCCTGCAAAAATCCTGCAGTGATATAGGGAAAGTAATGGCTCTGAAGATTCAAGTTCAGTTATAGTAAGGACAGCAGTGACAAAGAGACTTGAAAGAATAGCTATCACTACTGTGAAGCTGAGGAAGACATGTTAGTCAAATATCAGCGACTTCACAGTTACCTTGCTGGCATGTGACTTGGCTCTAGCTAATTGGTGCTTCTGGGTTATTCGCTGCTTCTCTTCTCCTACTCCTAGAAGAATATTGAGGTACTGAATAGCACAGATTCATTTCTTTTACAGCATTATACCTACTGCCAAGTTAAACATAGTCTCTGCCAGTATGAAATCTGCTCAACTCAAGGTTTCCTGGGAGGACATTGACATCACCAGAACTCAATGCAGCTGTTGATATGGGCAGGAAGGAGCCATATTCCCCAGACTTCCTAATGGTTTCTTTATAACAGGAAACTAAAATGCTAAGGGGAATGATGGGGGAATAACTTGCAGCACTGCAGCACAATTCTGTTTGATGAGCTCCTTTTAAAACTGCTTCTTTTTCCTTATAAACCTCACAGACTGCCATTTATATGCTCAAAGCCATGAACAGTTCCTATATTGAAATGGTGATGGCAACCCAGTTTGAAAACAACAAAACTAAAGCATTATCTTTGATGCTGCAGTGTGGTAGGCTAACTATTATGAAATTGCAGCCTACACCTCTTTCTGACATTGATTTACTTAAAGCCCAAATTCAACAAAAAAATTTGTTTAAGTATTGGACAGAAAAGGGTTAGAACCTCTCTCATGTTCCTATTTCTGTTTGTGTTCCTGTTGGGGAGATTTTTCAGGAACAGGGTACACTGGGGCATGAAGTAAAGGATTGGTATAGAGACAAAAAGGCTGATTTACTAAGGAACAAGTAAAGATTAATTTCAATAACCCAATCATATGAAAAGCTAATTCCTGTATTTTTATTTATTCTGCACATACTGTAATTGGATAACTGAAATTAAACTTTCAACTTTTTTAACAAACATTCTCAACCACTTTAGTAAATCAGCCAAATCTTTAAACTTTAAACGAATAGAGCATCTTCTGCATTTTTTTTTTGTTCCCTGTCTTGGCATTAGTTTCATGAATTTCTATTCCTGGGGTAAGAGAGACAGAAAGTGAGGAAAAATCTCCCCAACAGGAGCACAGACAGAAATGAAAACCCTACAGAACTTAAACTATTTTCCATTCTATACACAATTAAAGGAAAAAGTTACTTTTTCTGGTCACTCCCACAGCCTCGCTTTAGACCATGGAGTGATCCAAGACTTTTGGGTCTTAACATACAGTTTATGGCATTGTCACATGGAAGTGAGGTTTGAGGTGAAGGCTTCTCGCAAAGCCTGGTTTGCCTTTGACAACACTGTCTACTCTATAGATACCTCCTAGAGCGCCTTGAAGACAGTATGCTGACCCCGTTGCGAGTGCTTGGTCCTTTTATTGTTTTGAAATTGTATGTTACTTCACATTTTTGTTTAAATATTCTTGATGCTCCCTTCTTCTTTTGTTGTTATCATAGGAAAAACTTTAATAAAATTTATATAAAACTTTAATAAAAATTGTATGTTACGTCACATTTTTCTTTAAATATTCTTGATGCTCCCTGCTTCTTTTGTTGTTATCCCAGGAAAAACGTTAATAAAATGTATATATAACTTTCATAATAATTGTATGTTACTTCACATTTTTGTTTAAATATTCTTGATGCTCCTTGCTTCTTTTGTTGTTACCCCAGGAAAAACTTTAATAAAATTTATGGATGAAAAAAAAAAGTTGTGGCTAGACCTGGGGCTCATTTTATAATGACTGATGTTAAATAATTAGCCCAAACCTGCCCCAAAATCAGCCATGACATAATATACCATCACTGTATGCAAATTATTTTTCATGAAGCCAGATTCTCTTTATCTTTATGCACACATGCTGAAAAATAGGATAATAATTGGAGAAAGTAGAACATCATTTCTGTATCCTGCTTACCTGGGTAGTATGAGTTGGGCACGGTTGTACTTAGAGTGTTTGTTTTCATTGTGAATGAAGATGGTGACGACACAGCTGCAAACAAAGAACAAGAATTATGCAAGCTACTAGATATCTGGCATATTAACATTTTCGCAGCACAATGGTGTGAACAGCCCCTAGGAGCTCATATACAACACCAACGCATTGTGTTGTTATTCATTGTTAATTGCACCTCAGACAAATGTAGTGTGCTGCAGCACATATGCACTATAGTGTACCATACTGTGTATTATGTCTACCAGAGCAGGACCCTATTAAGATACATTGATAGCCCATGCAAAATGAATTGTCTTTCTGACACAATACATTAAAATGCATGAAATTGTGGTGAATAGGCCCTCACTATGCTTTATTACTAATCAGTCAGCACAACCTATATATATATATATATATATATATATATATATATATTGTGACAGTATGAACGGCAAGGTGATGGATGGACGATATGTGTCACCTCGCATGAGGTCATACTGTGAGGTGTAAGGTGAAGTCCATTCCGGGTTTTCAAGGCCACAATGGCAGAGGTGGTTCCGGACCGGAGTTTGTGCTCCACTGATGACCACCAACAGGTGGTATAAAGGAGACAGGGCTGGAGCAAGGAGTTGCTCGTGGCCTGGGACTCAGAGGTATTCTGAGAGAGCTGTGTGTTTGCACTATACCTACAAGAAAAGGTTTGCTTTTGTTTGGTTTTTGGGTGACAGGGAGAAGTCCTTCACCTCTGAGAGAGGAAACATCTCCTGTTTAGTTAGTGCCTGGATGGCAAGGGTTTATTTTGATGTTTGTTTATTTTTGATATGTTACAAACCTTTTAAATAAAGCTGACAACCCGTCAGATTTTAAGAAAGCCTGCAGTGCGGTCTACCTTTGTCTCAGGGAAGGTGATCCCCCACCTGAGCTAACCCCACAATATATATATATATATATATATATATATATATATATATATATATATATAAAATGAACAAACATAGGTACACTTATGTACTTAAATAATCAAAAACTTTAAACAAAATAACTAAAATGCTTAAGCTGGCCATATATGGACAGAATTTTGTTGAAAAAAATATTATTTTTTAGTATGTTTGATCCTCCAGTAGTTAATAGGATCAAATTGGTGATCGTTTTCTGCCATGGTGCTGAAAAAAATCAAAAGAGCAGGATGGAAAATGTTTCTTCAGCAAATTAAATTCTAACAGTGAATGTGGTTTCCCTTAGGGAAATTCCATTCATTCCAAAATCAAATGTTAATCAAATGTTAAAAGCAAACAAAATATTCAAGTACTTTTAAATGGCATTACCAAATGTGGTGATAGGATTTTTCATGTGAATATTCATATGAAAACCTTGCAGTGTATGATCAGCTTCAGAACATATACTGGAATATGGAGAAGTCTGACTGGCTACAAACAGGCCATGAGATAAATGTGAGACACAATTTAGTTAATTTAAATAATAATGGAAATTTAGCATTACTGGCCCAAAGATGTTATATACCTAGGTATATACATAACATTCTTGCTTTAACCCTTTTGCTGCCACTACAGCTTTGTTTCCAGCTGGCCAGGTCTGTACACCATATGGACCTGCATTCCTTCTTCTGCTGCAAACTCATGGTCACTTCATTGACCATGAGTTTATATCAGATTTGTTCAGCAGACTCTGAGCAAATCAATAGCTCTGATCAGTGGATGATAATCCACTGATCAGAGCTATTCACCTAAAATATGCCCCCCTACCTTTCCACCGCTGCCGCCTGTGCCGCTGCATAGTGACAATTCTCCTTTGCTGTCACCTAAAAGTCACCCCCCCCCCAATTTTGTTTCCTCCTTCCCCAGTGCAATAATCCCACCGCACCAATTCTCTCTACCACACACCGATCCTGCCCCCCACCGGAATACTGATCCACCCACAGAATAAAGATCTTCATGCTACACTGGCTTCCCTCCTCTGCCTTCCCTCTGGATTTATCTGCTGCTGGCCTACATGGAAGAAAAATATATTTGCAATATATTTTAAAAATATTCTTCCAAAATATATTGACATATATTTGAAATACTACAATTTTGGCCGTATTCAATATATTTAAACAAAAAATAATAAATAAATAAATAAATAAAAAAAAAATATATATATATAGTATATATTTATTGTCTATTGAAATGTATTTTTATTACAAAATATGTGAAAAATAGTTTTAAAAATACATTTTCAAATATACTGTATGTCTTTAAAAATACATTTAATCTACATATTTTTAATCCATTTACAAAAATATTTTTAAAAATATATGTTAAAATTACTTTTTTACATGTTAAAAAAAATCTGAAGAATATATTTAAAAAAAATATTTTTAAAAATATTTTTCATATATTTTGTAATACATAAAAAAACGCATTTCAACATGCAGTATATATATATATATTTTGATATATATTGAATACGGCCAAAATTGTAGTATTTCAAATATATGTCAATATGTTTGGGAAGAATATTTTTAAACTATATTTCAAATATATTTTTCTTCCATGTGGGGGTTGAGCCACAGAGGAAAAAAAAAAAAAAAATACAGCCCCTGCCGCCATTCCAAACACCCCTTAGTGCCCTCACTGATCCGCTGGCACCCCTCCTCACAGTGCATCCGGCCAGCTTTCCCTCCTACCATTCCTCTGAGGGAATGCTGTCTGTCTTATAGAGAGTGGGGGGGGGGGGGGGGGGCTGATAAACAAGTGTTTACCAGCCCCCTCCCTTTCCTTAATGAATACAGACGCCGGTCAGTAATGATCGCTTCGGCAATCACTGCTACATAGTAAACAGTGTTTACTGTTTTGACAAAAAAAAAAAAAAAATTGGAAGCTGATTGGTTTCTATGCAGTGCTGCACTAGATTTTGTACTCTCCAGTTTCAGTAAATCAACCCCACTGGGTATAGTGCATTTAAGTTCAAAATGCTGGTTGGACAGTGATGGGGCAGCAGCAGATTATTGAGGTCATCCCTGTATTCTCTCCTCCTATCACTGTCAGACTCACATTTAAGAAGTATGCACATGTGCTAGGTCTATGGAAAATACATTTTTTTTTTTATTGAATGCATAAATGAATTAATGGTATTTTAAAATACCTGCCTGGAGTCCTAGTTTAAGGTATTGTCAGCGTCCCTGGAAATCTCTTTAATGCTGTTATTGTCAGTGAACCAATACGCTGAAAAAGCTCAGCCCACACAATGGGCTTAGGAGCCTGGAGACTATAACATGCCGATTTCCTTAACGCTTAAAAAAAACACAACTGCAAGCTATTCTTAAATGAGGAAAATGGAAATTATTCACAGTGTATAATAGAAAAAGTACATCATGCTCCCAGCTACACTCTAGGCTTTGACAGGGAAGACAGGCAAACTTGTTATGATTATTAGGAGAAAGCCCTTGATGCATCAGTGGCTGCTCATTACAATACGCAATGTGATTTAAGGCACAGCACGGGAGGCACTGATTTTCCATAAGTGACTACTTTGTCCATTAAATTGATTGGTTAATGAGATGGAAAAGTCTTAAAAGTCACTTTTATTCACTTCAGTTGCTTCCTCCTCCATGCATTAGTAAAAATAAAACCCAGTGCTGGAGCAAAATCATTTTGAACTTACATCTGCCATTTAGATTGTGCGTGTCCATAAAAGAGAAAGCTTCATCACAGTTGGTGCCTTGCTCAGTGTAGCTTTTATCCATTGAATTCACCATCACTGTCATCTCCTGGCGGGTGCTGCTCAGGGTCTCTTTCCGCTTCTTTGCCAGTTTCCTGGAAAACAATAGGCACAAAAACCAATAAATCACTAGGGCTACATGACATTACACACACCGCTACATGATTATAGTACATCCTGTCCTGGCCGAATACCTTTTTAGTTAATGCTTTTCACAAGGCTGAGTTAATACATTTACCCATCCGAGGAGAAAAAATATAGCTTGCACTAGACATGCTCGGTGAGAAAAAAAGAGCACCTGTCTTGGGTCACAGGTTTTGATGGCATTAGAATGTATGGGTTAATTGAAGCTTGCATATTTGTTCTTAGAAAAGCTTTTATTACAGCTAATCTTAAAGATTTTTTTTATGATGGCTATGATGATTTTATTAGTGTTGGTGTACCTTTTTATGAAAGTATGTTAACAGGATTACTTTACATTGTCCAGCTCTCTGCTGCAAAGTGAGTCCACAATGTATGTGATGGTCTTATGTGTGGTATAATAGGTAATAGATAGGGTTTTTTTTTTAAAGTTTCACTTGTACTTTAAAGTGAAGCAAAAAAATGTTCTAATTTTGAATACAGTGGTGAAAATTTAGAACCCCTGTTGGGTTTTGTTGTATGTTTTTCATATGATAGTGTCATCTACCTTTCTGTCTTGTTACTTAGAGTGTGTGCCAGCATTTGTACTACACAAACCAATCAATAATACTAGCCAGAATCACGCTCTTGTACCAACAACAATGAAACATGGGATAGCCACAATGATGACGTTAGGCATCATCCTCTTTTTGTTTTTATTTTAATCCTGCAGCACAGATGTTGCTGTCAAATTTATCTCTGCCATATTCATGTGTCAATAATCCAATGGAGAAAAAATGGAGTTGTCCATTCATCTCCTATTCATCTCCTTGATATGGCTAACTAGGGTGTCAGTGTGGGATCTGAACACCATCTGCTCGTTTGATCTCTTGATTGGAGATCAAAGTGTCTGGTAAGAGGCCGATTTTTTCTTTTGTGTCAAGCATTTGTGGACACCTATGCACTTTCTGTTGGAGGATTTTTTTAGCACACAGCATTGTGTTATTGGATTTTGGGACTTTTTAATATTTAATATATGAATGTGGACTTATATAATTTCAATTCATTTATGCACATTTTTTATGTAGCAGTATTGATTTGATTTTTTAGTGTACAGCGCACTCATTTTTTTATATGGTTATTCTATTGCAGTGATTCTAATACTTTAACTACATATCAAAACCAATTTATAATCTTATGGGAATTATATTATCACAGGTAAAAAACCTTGCATCGTTGTTATTAATATGTGATATGCTTTATAATGTACAAGGGTTCTGTAAAAAGTTGCTGCACTTTTTAAAACTCTATTTAGTAAGAAAAAGTGTAGAAACTTTTTGAAGACCTCCCCGTAGGTAACATATGGCCTTTGCTGCTCAACAAGGTCTTATAAGAACAAATAGGGTGCTATTACCTAGTAAACCGCCATTTATTTCCTCCATCAGCTCATCCCCCACAGCTATTACCTTTTGTATCACTCAATCCTTCCTCCTAGATTGTAAGCTCTAACAAGCAGGGCCCTCTGTTTTCTCTTGTACCAAATTATATTGTAACTGTAATGTCTACCTTCATTTTGTAAAGCGCTGCGCAAACTGTTGGTGCTATATAAATCCTGTATAATAATAATTAAATAATTGAAGGTTGAATTTTATTGAACCCAAATTGAAATTAATTGACAGATACAGGTGTGTGGGATGGAGGAGGCCCTCTCTTTCAGGAATCAGACCTGAATAAATATTTCTAACTGTTTAAGAACCATGCCTTGAGATTAGGAGTTTATAAAACATTCACTGGATAAATGACAAGCATTCATCCAGGCTGCATGCATTGGCCTTGGATTGTAAGCACCATCTAGTGGCTAAACTATGATATATTTACTAATTGAGGTAGTTCAGAAAAATTTACATTTTGGCCACTAGATGACGCTGACAAACATAGGAAGTCACAGTTTTAGAGAAAGTATGGGGAAAATTCATACAGTCTGGACCAATTCTTTAGATATTTGTCCCACTAATGTTTTATAAATAGACCCCCTAAGTCTCATACTCCAGCAAAAGAAATGACTGTGGTGTTTGTGACAGAAGTGAGGGTGCCCCACTGTGCTGAACAGAGTAATGAATAATGTGATGTAGCAAACAGATAAAGTTGGCAGCTGTGCTTGCCAACACATCAAATCATAGATGACCTATACTTTCCATATACCTTGATGCAGGGGTCCTCTGTTTTTTAAATTTTTCATTGACCAGATATGAAAAGTTGCTATTGCACATTTGTGTAACATAGAGGTGTTATGACCATGACTTATTATACAAATGCTCTTTCATAACTGGACACTAAATATATAACGTATATATAAAAAAAGCAGGAGAGCAAGGTTTATGTCTATTTTACAATTTGATATAGAGTGAACATACTCTTTAGATTACATGAAGCCATTTTCATCAGTCTCTGCTTTGGCAGAGCATATGAACTCAATCTCCTACCACAGTCAGAAAACACACAAACACCCACACCACAGGGCCAATTTAGAAAAGAGCCAATTAACCTACAAGTATGTTTTTTTGTGTCATGAAAGGAAACGCATATACGCTAAGCTTTCTAAAGGAAATGTGTAGTGGTTTTATACATACTGTATTTCTTTATTTGCTATAGTCAGGGAAATAAAAAAAAAAACAATGTTTCCTTTATTATCAGGTAAATATGAAATATTAATATTCTGAATTATCTTTTTTTTTACCCCCCCCCCATTTACATGCTTGTCAGTTTTCCCTCAACCCCTGTTGTATAAACCCTATCCAACCTGTCTATACGCAGGTAGATTCTAACAGATTCCTCCATCCACCCTATAATGGATGGATGAATCTCCCACTGTGGCTATTGTATGCTGAAAGACAGACGCTGTTTGGTCAACAATTTTCCAGTTTTTCAGTTGAAGGATGTTGGGCGGATAGGGTGCCAGCTGTGCCACCCACAAGGCAAATTTTGGCTGATTAATCAGGAACAGAATGACATTTGATCAGTGCATGGCCAGCTTTAAGCTGAAATTTACATAAACAAGTGGAGAAATGTACACAAACAAGTCAGCACAGCTCCTTTCTCCTTTTTGTGACATAGGGCTCCATCTGATGATTCGATCAGAGACAGCTTGTCTGACAGCAGATATCCACTTCTGTGCTCTCTCTTTAAAAGCCCATAGTGTTTTCAAAATAACAAGTTTTGCATTCTGTGTTATAGAAAATACTGTTCATAAATAACAAGCAGGGATTCACCAAGTTTAGGTTTCAAGCAAAAAGTAGGAATCAAGTTTAGGTCCTCTGAAATCTTCCATTCATTCATTATTTAATCTGTTACGCAATGAGCTATCATTTGGCTTTATTGACTATATCTACAGTCCCTTTTTAACAGTTCCCCAAGCCCACATTTCCTGCAACATTCTCTCTGTTGTTCTCCAACCTTACCAACATAGCTAATTTATTCAGTGCAAAGTGACAGAGTCTTTTTAAAGCCCACCCCAACCCTCATATATTAAAATTTATTGCCCTCTCCCACTACTTTGTTGCTTCATCAGAGCTTTCATAAAATACCCAGTGGCTCTGGGTATAGGACATCATGTGACCTCCTGCTGCAATGAAGTGTTTGCAAATGATGTCCAATTGTCAAGCTCAAAAACTATCACATGAGGGAGGGGATGATGTTATCAAAGTGTTATCAAAGTTTAAATTCAGACATCATTCTACAGCCGGCTCTCACAGAGGAAAAGAGTTGTGAGGAGCATTGTAAAGTGAGAATGAACCGGTTGGCGGGTTAGTTTTTGAATTGACTTTTGAATATAAAAAATAAAACACCGGTATATACAAAATTTAAGAGGCAGCCATGCTGGCTGGTGTTGAATCACCACTAGGAAAGCTGCATTCACCAAGTCATTAGGCAGCTTTGATACTACTAATTCTTGGAACTAATTACAAGTCTATTTCTAGTGTGATGCAGCTCAGCCCCCCCAAACATTAATTGACTTTTAACAGAATTCTTATGCTGGCCATACATAGATCGGAATTTCGAAAGTTCAGCAGGAACTGGATGAATTTCAATTCATATATGACCTTCCCCATTTGGCAGAAGTTGATCTTTAGATTATCTTCTGTCAAATGGGAATTTTGGAAAACTTTCTGGATCAGCAGCTGTAGACACTGATCAGTGAATTCTGCAGTCAGAATACAATGTGGGAGGATTCCTCTATCCACCTCAGTTGTGTGGATGGAGCAATCCATTCATTTGCTGGCTGATTGAAAAAAATAAGTCACCTATGGCCCACTTTGTGTTTGGTTGGGTTGTTCTAGAAGAAATGGAGCAGCTCTGTGCACATCAATGGATGGATTAGTGGGGTACAAAAAGTATGTCCACTGATGACCAGTACAGGTAGTGAGAGGTCGTTAAACCCCCCCCCTTTTGGGTTGCCATGCCCTTTGCCAAATAATTATCATTCCATTTTAATATTAGAATGATTCCGGCATTCCTTTTTCACCCCCCCCCCTCCTTGTTTTCCTTTTTTCCCCCTGCATGTGCCTTCTCTTCTTCTCCCCCCTTCCCCCCCCATTTATTTATTTATTTGTTTATTTGCATATAGCTCTATATTATCATGAATCATGTTCACCAAAGACATTGCCACCATTTATGTGAAACACCACACTAGAACATTATGCCAGTTACTGCTTTTTTATTGTATATGCCTGCTCCGATCCCCATCCACCGATCCTAGCTGCTGACATCTTCCCCCAGCTGCCAGTCAGAATGATATCATCCCGCCCCCTCCTGTCTTCTGTCTATAAAACACCAGAGAGCCCTACAGCCAATCAGGTCTGAAGAAGCAGCAAGTGCTTCAAAACGCGTCACCTGACCCTGTTCCTGCCCTGCCATTGGTCGCCTGCT